CAAACGCCTCCCACAACCCCCCGGGTGAGTATCAGCAAAAAATATTGTGTCTAAATTATTTTTTATGCTCTATTCTACCAGAATATACACAATTCATCAAGATATCTTCGTGGCACAAGACCAAGTTTCCTTGTTAATAACATTAATAATTACATTAAAAAACAACATTGTTATCATTAAATACAATAATAAAATTTAATAGTCATAAATATACTGTAAATATCCTAAACAATCACAATAAAAATCCATCATGATCAGTCAACAATCAATAATAAAACGTGGTCTCCCGTTGGCGACCACCATCATCATCCATACTATCAATACTATCAGCATCGGTACGTTTCGCAACCCCACGACCACCGCCTACAGGGGGCGTACAAATGGGCTCAAAATCGATCCTGATCTCATCGAAACCATCATCATCATAGGCCCTATTATGAATGCCCACACCATTGCCATTCACGGTGACCGTACCATTTGCCGTCACATTTTTACCTAGATTATTTTGGGCCACCAATAAGCTGCCATTATTACGACCCCCTCCACCACCTTGGGATCGCTGCTGTTGCACAGCGTGTTGTATGGCATCATAGATACTAATGTATATATGATTGGCGGGTACGGCCGCGTAAAAATGATCACGCTCAAGTTGTTTGGTCACGTGTGAGGGACAGCCGCCGAGCAGTGTCTTGAGACCGACTGAGCCGTAGTCGGCGATTGTCCTCTTCAGCGTTTTGATGCCATTGGTGTCGATGTATGAAAACATTGAACAGTCTATGATTAGATGTGTGGGCAGTTTGGCCCTCAGCCCCACCACTCCCGGTCCCGTTCCCGTCCCGGTGTTTGCCGGCACTCGCAGCTCTACCCCGTCGATGGTAGGGTTGACATGAGTTGTTGTCCGGTGTTTAACGTTATAGGTGTCCGCGGTTTTAGGCTTTTCGCCAGTGTTTTTGTTGTGGTTTTTCTCACTTTTCTCAAGTTTGGCTAATTTTCGCTTTATTTCTCTGTAAGTTATTTATTGACAAACAATTAATTAATTAATTATTACAAATAACTAAATTTTTGATCATGATCATACTTGGGTGAGAAGCCTATTTTGTGCTCGAGGCCCTCGATGAAATAGTCGACATTGGCAAAGTGCAGTGGGCCACAGAACTGGTATATTTTAATGCCGGGCACTTCCCGGGCGTTCACGTATTTGCCGAGCGGTACAAACACGTCGGTCTGGTCGCCAACGGTGCCCAACAGGTAGTTACGCGGCCGTTGAGACTTGTATATCAGGGTAATTAGCGACCATATGAGCCCGATGTACAGCCCGTAGTCGATGTCCAATATAATCACCGACAGGAATGTCACCAACCATATGGACTAAATTGGACATAAATGTAGTTTTTAGTATATGTATGTAATAGTAATTGTACCTAGTTTATCTAAATGTAGTTGAGCATTGTATTTTTTGTAGATAATTTGTTTTGTGACCCTGACATTGATTTAATAAGTACTTTTTGTACTCAAGCTATTTGTACTTGTTCTACATGTTAAATAATCTAGTTTATGTAATGCACCTAATTTTGACAGCTGTGTGTCTATTGCACATGCATATTTTAGATCACCTCGTAGCAAACACGATAAATCATTTCAGCTAATATAAACGTGATTTTATTAAATCACGGTATGTTACGTGACAAGTGTATAATATAAAAGTAAATACAACCATGAACGTTTAGTTTAGTGTGTTATGTAATTTATAGTAGAATAGACTATTTAAGTCATCTGCATATAATGAATAAATAATTAATTACAACGTGACAATTATTAGCTAAATAGAGTAATTAATAAATTTCATTTATGTTATTTTGTATAACGTTTGATCTTGAACAGATTTATTTAACTTTACTATTTCAATTCATTGAGAATTTAATATAAAGTTGTATTATAAAATAAACAAAGCTATTTTATCACGTAGACAATTCTCATCTAGTGGCAATTTTCGTATTAATGTACAATCTTTACATTAAGTAAAAATTATTATCAAATCAACAAAATCCCATTTATTTAAATAGGCATTTGTTTATTTCTTTATAATACGTTTTGCTATTAATGACCACGATGATTATTATATTTAAATATATACAATGCTCAATTAAAAATACAATAAACTGTACCCAACGCTAATAGCCTATTGTGTTATGCTTGTTTATATTTTTATATAATAAATAAAGACTTTATATATTAAAAAATTTAAATAAAAAACAAAATTTAAAAAAAATATATTTACATAGACAAATAAAACTTACAAAATTATTAATACTGAATAAATACACATACATTGGTTTTAAAAACAAAATGCTACATTATTAACTATTTAGTACACTATCTACATCAATGTAAATCAGTACACTATTCAGTGCGATACTATACCATAGATAAACATAGTGATAAGAAAAACAATTATGATAAAAACAAAATCATGTTTCGCACAAACATACATTACCCAATATTTAGTCAATCGCTAACATTGCATAACAAATTGCAAAATAATTACAATAATAACTATATTTAGCATAACGTAATGATACATAACTTTCAATCATGTGTAAACAGTGGCACTAAATAATATGCGGAGACACCAATTCAACAAGTACTACCCTTGATAACCCCATAACCCCTCCCCCCACCAAAAAATACATACCCCGTCTATTTTGCTGACATCCCAATAGTTTTTAAACAGCCGGACCTCTAATAGCATCACTCGTAGGGCTACCGATATAATGGTGGCCAACACTGCCTGCAATCATAAAATAAAAACACAAATTAATAAAGATGGTCACCCTATCCACGCCCACTAAATTAATTGTCACAGGTAATTAATTAATACATACGTCGGGCAGCTGTTCGAGAAATGCCCCGAAATAGAGCAAAACGGCACAAATGCCAAAACAATTGATTATGGATACGAGTTGTGTGCGGCCGCCGGAGCTCTCCTGGACGGCCGATCGGCTCAGGGATGCGCCCACAGGTATGCACCGGAAGAATGATGAAAACAAGTTACTGCCTCCCAGTGCTATCAGCTCCTGACTGCTGTCAATCTCGTAGTCGTGTTTCATAGCAAATGATTTGCCCACAGAGAAGGTGATGGCGTACGACACAACGGAGACCCCTATACAGGGCACCCATATTAGCCGCAACAGTGGCCAGTAGTCCCACGGGGCCACCGGCGAGGGCAGACCCCGGTCGATGTGCCCGACCACTTTGATGTTGTGTTTGTGCTCGAGGTCCAGTAGGTTTGACGCGATTACCGAGCCAATCACGATGAATATTTCGATTGGGAATGGCACCTAGCATGATTTATTTTTATTATTTTAGTTATGATGTTATGTATTTTGAATGTTAAATTAAAACATAATTTATTTTAATTTATAAATGATAAATTTATTATATGCAAAAAATTAAAAGTTTTAATTTATTTAGTTTGTTTATTTTTGCAAAAATATATAATAATAATAATTATGCCTTATAAAATATTAATAATGCTAAAATTAAAACTATTAGCCTAGCATTATTATATAACTTATAAATTAAAAGTAAGTAATTATAAGTAATTCACACTTACTTTAACATTAAATTTTTGTTTAATATAATCGTTGAAATAAATCTTAAAGAACAGCAATATAAGGGCACAGCCTATGGAGAGGCCGAGTGCCACAATGTTTGTGTGCGATATGTTGGCCATCACATCGAGCACCTCCCGGGCCAAGGAAAACACTCCGTGACTCTGGTGGCCGGTGTCTATGCCGAACATGTGCTGAAATTGGGAGCCCACCACGTGATAGGCCACCGCACAAGTAAACCCGTTTAGAAACTGCTCCGACATATACACCGATACAAAACCCAGCCGTAGAAATCCTGGTTGCATTTGATTTGGGTTATTTTTAATAAAGATTGTTTTAATTATTTGTAATAATAATAAATCATAATATCAGCGTTATAATTAGATGTAACTATTTTATTTATACAATATTTACTATAAAAAAATAACTAGATTAAATAATTAATTTAATAACTAATTTTAGGACATGTAATAAATAATAATTAAAGTTTAATAAAATACATTAAATAAAAAACACAATCTATAAAATCTACAGTAGATAAAGTTGTTTCATTTTATTTTAAAATAAATTATTTAATACAAATAATACTAACCAAAAATGAGTTGATAACAGCCGACAACAAAGGAGCAACAAATGGCAATCTCTGCGTTGGTATAGTGGGGCAGTTGGTGGGGGGTATCGGTGGCCGAGCCCTCAGTGGCGCTGCTATTACGGAGAAATGCCAACATATGTGTGGTTTGCATAGCCATATGGCGTTCACTGTCCCGCACCTGAGCTATGATCGCACCGGTCATTATGGCCAGCGCTGCGAATGTGCCTAGGTGGGTTATGAAATTTTGATATTTAACTTTAACTTGATATAAATTGTAAATATGTTTGTTATAGGTGCATTTTTAAATATTTATATTATTATATAATTGTTTACAAATAACTATATTATTTTAATGTGGGTAATTATGTTTTGATTTTTTTAAAATATAAACTTTATTATGTTACTATGTTAGGTGCAAGTTTATTTTTGTTCATTTTAATTAACACTTGCTAATTGATGCTGCATTTCACTAACAGATACATCTAGTAGCTGTTGAGATTAAAATGTCGCCATGTTAATTAAATGTTTAATAATTAATTTACTAATTAACAAGCTAGTTTATTAGCATTAATTAAGCTAATGCAGCGTTTCGTTGATTAAATAAATGATGATAACTTTGTTGCGAAATATATTATTCATTACAAAGCAAAGTAATGGTATGTTTTATATCAAAAACTTTTACTCTTATTCATTAAGATCTCGAGAGAGAGAGAGAGAGAGAGAGAGAGAGAGAGAGA